TTCTAATGATTTTTCAAGTTTTTTGTGAAGAATACGTTTAAACGGACCATCCAGTGGCTGTATGCTAAGGGCTGGGGGTTGTGATGGTTCAAGTGGCTGCTATTTTTGGATGTGAACATGGAAAGTACATCCAAACATGTGTTATTTCAGGGTTACAAACCCTACAAGGGCCTTTCATAGCAACTGAGCCAAAGTTAAAATCTAAGCAGAGCGTACTGTAAAAGAGAGCAGTGTTAAAGACATGTAAAGCAAGTTGCTGTCTTTTGGTTTAGGGCTGAAACAAATGATTCATTTTATTAGCATTCATCTCCAAATATTCCCTTCATTAATCAGCTTGGTCTTTAAAATGTCATAAAACAGTAAAAATGCATAATACAATTTCCCAAAGCCCAAGTTGATGTTAAATTGTATTGTCTGAACAGCAATCTGAAACACAAAGGCATTGCATTAATACCACAGATGTCCAGGGAAACCTGCAAATATCCACACTTGCTGAAGCTGGAATTTTAAAGTTTGGGCATTTTTTTCTTTAAAAATGATTGGACTGATTATTAAAATGATTGTTGAGTAATTTTCTGCTGGCTTAACTTACAGTACTAACTGATAAACTATTTTTTCCTCTAAGTTGGTGTGGATGTTTTATCAGGTGTAACAATGATAAAAGCATTCAAATTTGTCATTTCACGGTTTACCTCTGCTACACAGTTAGGTGCAAAGGGATTTATCTGCCCTGAATACACATCTGCAGGGCTGTTCAGTGTCCCTAAAATAAAAGAGTATTTCTAATTGAAGCTGCATTACACTATTATTATAGCGGTGCTCTGTTCCAATTATATGACAGTTATTACATTTAATATCTGCTAGAGAAGAAAGACTGTACAGTGCATGTGGGTATCCACTGAGATCACATCAATAATTTAAAGGTTCAACAGCAGTGTGCGCGTGCGCGTGCGCGTGGGGCGGGGAGGGGGCAATACTGGTTACTATACTAATATAGCTAAGCTTCTTTATAGTGACGCTACTGGGGGGTTTGGGGACAAGAATTACGCAAAATGTGTTCACAGTAACGTCACTGTTGTGTTTAAACACAGTTTAAATCCCCACGGGAATGTTACTCATACCGAGGCTTCTCTAGAGGAGTTTCCTGTTTTGCATAATAACCATCATTAGGCAGTTTGACCTCTTCACCCCTGGCGGAGACACACGGCGATCATGTCAGCTACAAAGACAACACTGTTCTCCCAGTCCGCCCCCTGCCCTCTCTTCACTGACAAGCACAGTCATTTAAACACGTACAAACTTCCTCCGCTGCTTCGGGACGGCACAGAGTCGTTGTAACACAAGTTTCTCCAAATTTTAGTACTTATTTTTGGCTGTCTACTGTTAAAATGTGAATTTGAAATAGTATGACAGTAAAGCTGGAGTAACTCCACAATTTTCACAGCTACGTTATACTTGATAAAATACTCCAATTCAAAGTAATAACCACAAAATACGATAAGGTCATTATAAACTAGTCACTGACTGACACATTATAAACCCCACAGGGCTAATACGGTGACTTTTCGTAAGTTACTCACCACGCAGTAAAAGGCAGCATAATAATGAAGAAGGACCGAATTGACTCGAAGTTATGGGTCTTGTCGTCGCTCCAACCAGCTGAGCATTGTGAGTCCCCTGTTGATGTGAAGCTACACAGTAGTACCAGCGGGAGCACGAGAGGACTGGCTAGGAGCTTCCGAAGACACAACACTGAGTAACAAGATCATTCACCACCGCGCAAACGTACAACGACCAGGATGGCTACGCTTTACTATGATCATTCATGCAAAAAAACTCAAACGCAAGCTGTTAGTGTAGCTGGTGCATTATATCTCACTTCATGATACGGCAACGGCGTTTTTTCCTGGTTCAACTCCCAATGTAACCCTCTCATTAAATCTAGTAAAAGACCGTCACGATGTTATTCGCTGCTGAGCCTTGTACAGACCAAAACAGCTAAACCCGAGACGCTTTAGCTTTATAAAGTGAAGTAGCCGCCAGCTTTATATCTCAATTTAAATTTTCTGGATGGCAGTTTAATCGCAGCAGTTCTGCTCAACAAAACCGGAAGTGCTGGTGAGTGGCTGCTCTCGCTTCATACATGTCCTCCGCGCAGCTCCCCGACTGTCTTGACGCAGACGGTGACACACTAAGAGGTGGGAGACGCTCATGACTGACGCTGCCGCCCACAGATTCCTGTCTGTTGTGTTCGCACTGCTTTGTTACCAACGGTGATGTGGTGCCAAATAAACAGCGTTTAAACCTCCAGCTGGTGATTATTATCAGAAGGAAATCAGACACCAGTGTAGACGCATTAGGCCACATGAACTCTTGGGTTATGTTTACTTCTGAGTAGCATGTAACCTTTCATTTATTACTTTCTCCAGTAAAACAGAATAAACAGAATGACGTCTAAAGAGTAGACAAAATAATATCCAATGGTATTTACTGTGTATATCAGCATAAAGGAGGCCATTGCCTATTCAGTTGCCTGTAAGTTTAATATCTTTACAGCATTTATTTCTTTGCATTAACTGTCTGGTCTTTTGTGTCTTTCTTTTAAATCTATCTCTATTAAAAGTGACATGTATTCTTGGCATTCATCTTACACTACTATGACTCACAGATGTTACAGGAAATTGTGCTTTTATTCTGACACTCCTACACTCCAGGAAACTCCTTGGAGGAGCTGTAGATGGACAGGATTGTAAATTTGGATGTAAAGCCTCTGCCTTTTTTTACTCAAGAAAAATTCTCCTCCCTGCTTTCATGCTATGGTCTATATATAATTATACTGACATTTATCTATTCACGCATGTGCATACACTTTGTGATCTCAGGTTTTAACAGCAAAAAAAAAAAAAACTGCTACCAAGTGAGAAAAAGTAAAGCAACTGGATTAATATTCCTTTGTCTCTGCTTTTAAAGATAATCATGGGCTATTCTGTGTCCCCAACTGGGAGGGCAATGAAGCTCAGCAGCCAGAGAGGCAGAGAATCAGATTAACAGATGGACAGACCGACGAACGCAAAGACAGACCTACATAGTGTTTGAACTTCATGTTGACGCACATCAGTGCTTCAGTTGGAAGAGTTAAACAAAAGCTGCACTATTACCTAAAATACCTGTTGGTCCAGATACTCTGGCCAGTGGAGGGACTGCTCATCCTAACCTCAGCACTGAGTGCAAGTGTTATGAGAGTGTGTCCACTTTGGCTGGGATCAGTGTAGTGCATGTGTGTGTTTATAGTCCACTGACCTGTGTGGGTTGTAAACACCAGGGACCGTGTGCAGCACAAAAGGGGAAAATGACTAATGTAGTGTAACAATGCATTGATAACAAAGACTCTTGTATTTAAGTCTTAAACTTGATCTCTGTAATAGATTTTGTATTAAAGTATTTGCAGCTTGAAGGTACATCCAGTCAACGTATTCTCTCTGAGCTCTTAGGGCAACTTACTCATAACACATGATCAAAGTGCTATGTGAGGCTTCCTGGCTATATATAGTGTCATCACACTGTGTGGACAAAAATACATTTGTGCATTACAGTTGGAGTTTCCTGTTCCTTCTGCTGCCTGTTTCCACACACAGTGTGACTTTTGTTGTGTGTGGTGTGCTCAAATGTGTCAGGCTGGTCCAGACTGTTCCACGACACACTAGTGCTGCACGAACAAAGAAAGAGATGAGTCATAGAGGAACGTTAATATTTCTCTTGAGCAGCATTACAGTGATCAGATTTAGTGTAGTATGTGAGTATGTATATAGAAAGTATGTATGTCTTAATTTGCTTGTTTATTAATTTTTATTTTTTTACTTTATCAGTGCAGCTATCAAAACCTAACTGGCCCAGATAACCTGAATTCTGTACATATCAGATTTCAGATTCACACTCACATGTCATGTAACTAACAATGAAGAGCACACAGGCTGTTCCACAACAGGTTCATTTTTTCAGAACTGCTTTCCTCTACTTTGTCATGTACTGCTCGTCCCGTCAGAGAACAGTGACTGAACCATTACTGTGCTGTCACTCCAGAGTCCATGTTACATAACATGTAGTTAACCCACATTCTGGAAGTCTCTCAAGTTGCTGCCACTGGCTCTTGTAGCCCCGTTTTCTCAGTCAAGCTGTGCCACATAAAGCAATATATTGAAAGAGTTTGACAAAGCTTCAGGCATGTGAAACTGTGCCCCAGTTTCTCCTTCCTTCCTGTGGATTCTATCTCATGAATTTACCCCCTTTTAAAGACTTCTCTCAGTTTTCCTGCAGATAGCAGGAAGTATGAAGTAGTGTTAGAGTGTTGCTTTCCAGTCAGGTAGTAAATATAAGGTGCCAACTGGAGCCACGTGCTGCCCAGAAATTATTCTGCTTTCCCATAAACTTACATGACAAAATCATATCAATCCATACATTATCTATACCGCCTATTCTAACGAGGGCTGAGAGGGCTGCAGCCAATCCCAGCTGACACTGGGCGAGAGGTGGGTTACACCCTTGACAGGTCACAGAATCGTATATGCTATATTAACAAATAGCAATGGTGGAAGAAAAGTACTGATGATGAAGTAAAAGGAGTAATACCACAGTGGAAAAATAGTTGCACTCAAACATGTTCTTGAATAAAAGTACCATCAAAATATGCTGTAAGGACCAGGAGTAAAATCAGGCTACTCATTTTGCAGACTGGCCAATTTTAGAATAATGTGTATGATATTATTGTATTATAATAATTGATTAATGTATACATCACTTCAACACTGTGATGGCTAATTGCAAGTGCTTTATATTCTGTGGAGTAGCTTATTAATTTTCCTATAGGGGTCAATAAAATCATATGTTACCTTATAGAAAGGAAGTCACTTTCGGCTTTTCCTTTTTTTTTTTAGGGGTCGCCACAGCGAATCGTCACACTGACGACTCGCATGTTGACATTTGGCACGTGTTTTATGCCAGATGCCCTTCCTGACGCAACCCTGATTCGTACCCGGGCCACAGCGGCAAAAGCGCTGTGCCTTAACCACTAACCTACCAGGGACGGCTATATGTTACCTTATCTTAATCTATAATAATACTGTACATCATAATTTATTTGTTGATTACAATTTGTTTGATTATATTGTTTATCTAAATCTGCAAAGTAACTACTAACTAATGTTACAATAAAAGTAGTGAAGTAGAAGTATAAAGTATCAGAAAATGGAAACACTTACTGTAAGTACAGTTACTTCAAAACTGTACTTAAGTACAGTACTAGAGTATTTGTACTTACAGTAATTACTTTCCAAAGCAGGTAGATAGATAGATAGATAGATAGACAGATAGATAGATAGATAGATAGATAGATAGATAGATATTGACTCAGTGAAATAAGTTCAGCTGAACACTGATTCATTCTCGCATGATTTTGAGAGATGAAGCTCTTTGCCGTCTTACTCCACAGCTCCTTTCCTGAAAATGCCACACATACACATGAGTTGGCTTCTTTTTACATAGCCTCTGATGTCATATTTTGACAATCGTCACCATTGTCGCAAAGGGCAAATATAGCCCACCCATTTCTATTATAGAGGATGGAAAGGCAGTGAATCATTATGTTTGCTTCCAGCAGCAGTGGCATGACTACTATCATCAGCACTGTCTGCATCTTTGCAGTCATCATTTCTTTACGTCGGTGGTGTCCTCAGCTTTCTACCTGACTAAGATTTTCTTAATTTGGTTTTACTCATCGGCACATGTAATGGTAAATAAATTAACACATGGATTCAGTAACTAGGAAGAGTTGGGGTCAGATACAGGTAGCATTAGCTGCTAATGCTAACATCATGTCTTTTGATGACTGCACTTCTGCACTGCTCTGTAACTTTATTGTTCAGGTGAGTTCAAGGAGAGACAGAGCTACTCAGAAAGGCTGATTTTTAGGAGGAATAATAAATTTCCTCTAAAATTTTATTCAGAATTTAGGTCTTTTCTGTAGCAAATATCAGTGTAACCAATTCCCTGGCACTGTCATTTTCCCAATATGTATGGGTTAATTGTTTACACCCCTACCCTTCAGCAGTTATTACACTTTAATTCAAATGTTGCTGGTTGGTGTATAAAAATATGCAATGTCACCTTTTTCCAAAAGAGTTCCATCCACTCTAACCCAGTGTAGATAAAACAGCACAGACATAAATCTTCTGACAGAGCCAAAACTGCTGTAATGTTTGTAAAAAAATAATAATAAATAAATAAAATTGTTTTCCTGTGGACCCCCACTGTTCATGGTAACAGCTTTTTTAGAAATTAAGTTTCCAGGGCCTTTAAGTAACATGTCACCTGCAGTTATTTCAGTTCAGCAGTTTTTTTTTAGAACTTCCTGTGATGTTCTGATGGCATGTCCTGGCCTTGTGCCAAGTGTACAGCTGCTTAATCCTTGGTTCAATTCAGGGGTGATCACGCGTCTTTGTAGCACAGCTAGTGGGTGCTATCTGTGCAACATGTAAGTTGAAAAGCTGATATGAAAGAGATTCATGCTTTAATGGTGAATGAACTATATACATGCTGCATCTACTGAGATGAACTGCAGTGAATGTAAGCGCAGTCCAGTCTTCAATCCATCTTATTATTTCCTGTTACACAGGCAATTTAGTCTATTCTGAAAATATCCTCCATGTATTATCACGTATACAACAGCAACCCAGAGAACAAAGTAGGTTACACAACTACAGTACAGTTTTAACAGAAGTGATCTTATCTGTCGCTGCATGTGAGCAGCACAAGCTGCAACAGCAAAGCAGCTGTGTGATTTGATTTGACACTCCTCCTTCAACAATGAATCTCTTGTCAGCATTAGCCAGAGAGCTGTGGTGACCTTTCTTGCAAACTTCCAAACTGGCCTGTGTGATGCAATGTGGACCCAAAACACGCGTTCCCTGAAGGAACATAATAAAATGTATCACCAAGCCAAGGTGTAGATCTCTTTATGTCTCTATTGTGGCTGTTTCATTATGCATTCACGACTACAGTCTAGCACAGTTGTGTGAGTGTGCATGAAGTGTGTGTTTCTGTTCTCTTTGTGCCACTGATTGTGCTTGGCTGGCAGCCCTGCGGCGGGAGCTCCTGTGCTATCTGAGTTCCAGCAGAGCATATTCTGCTGTTGGTGTTGGCTGTCACATGTGGCTCCATGTGAGGCTTTCGCAGCAGCACACAGCAGCAGGAGGAAGGAGACCTGCTCTTTTCTCAGCTGCTCAGGCCAGTACTGACTGTTCTGTGAAGCTGTGTGGGTGAGACGGTCTCCCTCCCTCCTCCCTTCCCTACCCTTCCTGGTTTCTTTTCTCTTCCTCCACTGCAGCTGGCAAAACACATGCAATAAAGGCTGACAGACAACACAACTACTTGACACTGTTTTCACATACAGTATATCACTGATATCTGAAACTGAAAGCATTGTGTATTGTGATAACTTAAAGGTACGTTAGATGTGTGTGAATAGATGCAACAATCTTTGAGTACTGCAGACAGCTATCATGAATACATGTGTGCGCATGTGACAAACACTAAAGTACAAAAACAAATGTTCTGTAAACATGTTAGGAGTTTCCATGATCTTTAACCACAGTTCTTTGATGGGAGGTAGCATGTTGCTTTGGCGCCATCTCCTGGCTGTTAAATGATATTGAGGAGAAAATAATGCTGACGTTTTACAGCACGGGTTTTCAACCAGTGGTCTGCAGCCCCCAGTGGTCCGCGATGGCATTACAGGTGGCACCTAGCCATGTGTTCAATAATGTGGCTTCACTGTAGGAATTTTTTAAAAGCAAATTTCTATGTATTACTTATTGTTTGTAGTCACAGTCATGCAAATGTATAACACTTAGAAAAGTTAAGGTGACTTTCAGGATTAAATTAATGTCTATGCATTTGTATCCACCACTCACCAGTGGCCCTCAGGTTACTTATTAGTCAGAATAGTGGTCTCTGGGTCACAATTAGTTGAAAACCCCTGTTTTACAGAAATGAATGAACTGTTTTCACAATGTAGACATGGTAAATACTCAGGAGAAATGATGTAGTTAGATGAAAGAAATAAGTGTCACTATTACGCATGCTGAGTGGTATGGTATGAATGGTATATGTTATGTGTCATATGTTTACCTATGATTGTGACTAAACCTGCTTTCTGAAATACCCCTATAGACTTCATCCATGTCAACTACTGATGGTCATCTTTGAGCTAAATGCCATGGCTGATGGGATTATTAATTCTGCAGGTATTTGGTAATACACCAGATTACTGGACACAATTAAAAAAAAAGTCTGATGATGAAAAGTCTGATTATCACCAGAGTGATCAAGTCCATCCTGAGGGGAACATGACTGTCTGAACCACATTTCATAACCAGGTTCATCTACAACAAGCCAGTTCAGTGTGTAAATCACATTTTATTTATTTAGCTATTTATATAGCCCCAAGGAGCTTCAAGCACAAGACAAATTGCAGACACATAAACAGGATTTAAAACTAGTAAATTAACTAATAAACCTAAAACTATCCAGGCTGGGCTCCATTAATAAAAAAAAAACGAGCCATAAACCATGACGTCACCAATAGAAAGTGCAGGTGAGGTCACGTGGTCATAGGTAGGGAATAAATGAAAGCATGAGGTGGGGAGCTGAGTTGGAGTTGCAGTAGCGATTTCAGAGTGTGGTGAGTTTAAACATCCATCCGGAGCCGAAACATGAAGGCTGCTGGTTTATGGCCCAAGACCGATCGTGTGCAGTGCAGTTAACGGGAAAGCACGTTATGATACTGAGCTGGAGGAAACAGTGGTAACGGGGGGAAACACATCTCGACTGGGGAGCAGATTTCAGCCCAACACCGATTCTCCGTTTGTTTAACCCGGTCGGTGCAAAAGACAAACATCCTCTGTTTAAAACATAGTGAAGTCACAAATGGTTACTGAGGACACTGTAAGACACGTTTAAGAGGTCAGAAAGATGTTTTCTTAACATTTGTTAAGTGAATTACGAAATTGACATTTTTAATAGAATGTGTCGTGCACATATTCATAAAATCATTGTGTGTTTTTGGAGTCCCGACTGAAGCATGATGGCAGAGCCTCGGGTCACCTTGGAGCAGCTGCTGGCAGTTTGTCTTCAGAGGATTAACATGGAGGAGGATGCACTCAGCACTGAACTCAGTGAGTCTGGTTTACTCAAATTTAACCTCTCTGTTGTTGGAGGCGCATTTTACACACCACCCAAAATGCACACACATCAAACTTAGATACCCACCATTCCCTGGTATTTGTCCACACACACACACACACACAGAGGTTTTAATCACAGGGAAAACATTGGGGAACGTTCATAACACTGGATTTTGTCACTCCAGTTATGTTTGTTTTTTTGTTTTGCCTGCTTCTAATTGGGGGTTAATGATGAAGTCCCAACTGTTTATGCATGTAAACAACAGTGCTGCCATGAGCTACAACTTTAGCCACATTTTTTTATCCTATATTTGTTCACATATAGTCAAAATGTCCCCATTGACAGTATCAGAATGAACTGTGATCAGCTCCTGTTGCAGCAGATGTACAGGCAACTTAATAACAGGAGGATTCTGCAGCCTCTTTTTCCTCTGATTTCTAAGTGGATTTATGGAGGTTTATTCTGGATCTGAGGTGATGATGTTCTCAGGAAGTGGACGTCCCACAGAATCAGGTCTTTTATGTTTTCTGTTCACATTTCACTGAAGGAGGAGTGTATCAGCTGTTTCAAGCAGACTCCTGCTGGTCCTGGTCAGGGATCTGAAGGTTTCTCTTTACAGTTCATCTATGATATGTTCAGTTCTGACATGAGTTGTGAATAAAATCTGAGATCATATTTTTTTAAATATAGTTAAGCATCTGCCGGGCCTTCAGTCAGCATCTATCTTATTTAATGTACTACAATTAAAAATAAAGCAAAATAACCATTTTGACTTGGCTGTGGCCCTACAGTAAGAAGCATTCATGAATGTAATTGAATAAAATTACTGAACCAGACACACAAATATATTTTTAAAAAGGAATTGATACTGAGTTCCTTAAAAAAATATGAATTGTCAACACTTAAAATACAAAAGAAATTTCACATTGATCACATAGGGCCCAAAGAACAATAACAAGCACAGCACTGCTACAGATTTACTGAGGAAACAAATGTTTCCTACCATGAGGAAAATGCTTATTAACTTTTTAAAAATGTATCTCAGACAGATGGGATCATTGAACTCTAGAAGAATGACATTTCCCTAGTACTGTCTGGTTCTCCAGACTCTGTGCACTCCTTTAGTTTAGTTTGAGGATATAGATTGTAACCCCCACCCACCCTTTCAGGGTTTGTTGAGGCAATGAAGAACTTTGAGGAGGTCAGGAAGAAATGGCTGCACGTTGAGCTGGAGCTGAAGAAGTATAAAGAGCTGCTGGTGAAGTCCGATGTGGCCAAAGCTGCTCTGGAGGTTAAACTGAAACACACTCGAAACCAGCTGGACGTGGAGATGAAGAAACGCTACAAGATTGAGGCAGACTACCATTACCTGGTGAGTCCCAGAAGGAAGAGCAGGAAAAGTTGCATTATTTTTGACTTGACAGTTCAGTGTGCTTTCAGAGAAAACAGTTCATACTGTACATCCAGAGGAGGAAGGAAAGGACAAACCTCCCATGTTTATCTCCAGGACTGTGACACTCTTTGAACAGATGAATCCAAATGTTTTCTGTAGTGAGCTCTGCAGCCTGCTGGGGGTGCTGACTAGATTTATCAATGTTATTGTTGTTCCAGGAGCGGCAGATGCAGCTCATGTGTGACATCCTGGTCCATGACAGTAAATCTAATGCCTGTCTGAACGATGAGCAGAAATCTCTCTTAGCTACGTTTGAATACAAAGGAGGAAATGTGACTCAGCACAAGAGCAGCAAACGGTAAGTGACCAGTCCATGTGCTTCACTGTAAAGACACAAAGCTGTTTTGACTAGTGAGGAACAGAGTTCACGTTAAATGCATTTTCTGTGTGAATGAATGTGATATACAGTCACTTTATTTATTGTTCCTGGTCCCATTTTATTGTGGTCATTGCAACAGACTCCAAAAAAAATCTTATACTCAGTTCAGTTCAGCTGGTAAAATGGATGCCTGGTTCATATGAGTGAAATGTGCACAGGCTGCCTATTCAGACTAGAACTGGAGTTGCTGCTCTTTGAGAGACTCTGTGTAGGGTAGCTTACCTGTTTCTTCATGCTGTGGTGAACATGGCATATAGGTAAAATTTGTAGTCACACGCTGTTAGGTGGAAGTCTTGGCTTTATGGACAATGTAGGGAACCTTGTAATGTGTATTCACACTATGTTTGAAGATCTTTGTATGCTAAAAAGTAAATGCAACACATAAAGCTGAAAAAGGAAAGTTTGTACTGAGTTACAGTGTACACATCGGTTAATAGCCGCTCTGTGATGCCATTCAGGGCCTTAAATTTGGGACTGATGAGTTTCAGTGCTTGTTAGTTTTCAGTTCTCCAGTTTTACTCTGTGGATTTTAGAGGCGTTTGTTTTTTTTGTTTTACAGGGTTCCAAGTTGGTGAAATGTAAAAATCACAAAAGGAACTTTGCACAGAAGAAAAAATAAAATGATAAAACAGCGTGTGAGGTGTTCAGGTGACAGGACAGAGACTGGGGCAGTTCAGATGATTTTCACTGGGATCAGCAGCAGGAA